GTGTTCAACCAGTGGCAGAGGGCCAGTGCTCAAGAATAGCTGGGTAGAAGCATCAACATGGAGGATGCATTCGCATGGCCCAGAGTCTACTCACCCCTAATACACTAGGCTCATGGAAGCACCTGGGTTATTCTAGAACACAACCAAGGGAAGGAAAAATCCCCATCATGGTCAGTTTCTACTTTGCCAAGTAGAGGCCTCACCCACATTTAGTTTCCTTTAAGATAATATTTCTCATACTAAGTGTCATGGATCAACAAATCAAAATTCTTGGGCTGGGGAAATGGCTGAGTGGATAATGTACATGCCACACAAGTGTGAAGACTAGAGTCTGGGCCCCCAGAGCCCACTCAGAGCTGGATGTAGCATTGGTAGCATGCATCTGTAATGACAAAGTGGAGACGTGAGAATTCCTATAAGCTCAGATGTCAGCTAGCCTGGTATGCAGAAGTGAACAATCAGGGACCCTGCCACAAACAAGATGGAAGACAAGGACTGACACCTGAGATTGTCCTCTGGCCTCCACATGTACACTGTAGCATGTACTGTCCCCCATGTACACACAAATGTGCACACGCACATACACAATGTACACATACACATTTTGAAACAAATTCTTTTTGCTTTTGCTTTTTCAAGATAAGGTTCGCCTTGGAACTCGCTCTGTAGACCAGGCTGGCCTCTAACTCAGAGATCCACCCGCTTGTGCCTCCCGAGTACTGGGATCAAAGGTGTGCACCACCACTTCCAGGTTCAAAACAAATTCTTAATTTATATTGAAAATTTGCATAGAGAATACAGTGTCTCTCAAGAATGTCATAGTTGTTTTTGGTGGACGGCCTTGCCATTCAAAGAATAACTACCACAGGCGATAGCAATACCCTTGAATGTGTACAACATGGCAGTCTTATTTACTATCATGAGCAAAGCCAGCTGGCCAGGAATAAGAGCATGCAAAAAAAAAAAAAAACAAAAAACAAAAAAACAAAGTCAAACTTTCATCATAATCAGACACACACTCACGCCAGACCCCTGTTTCAGTATCATTATCTGCTTCATCAGAAAGTCCACAAGGAAGAACTCTGACTGACCACGTCTGGATCAGGTGCCTTCTTTGTGGCTAGAAGAGTCAGTACCAGGATTCAGTCACCAGTGGGGGAAGAACTTTCTAGAGTCAGGAGGAGACACTGTTCAGGTAATGAAATAAATACACACAGGGCAAACTCCTTAGTTGTATGAATTCAGTTTTCATCTACAATATTTATAGTACAAAAGGCTTTAGCCAACATTTTCTTTTTCTTTTTTTTTTTTTCTTTTTGGTTTTTAGAGACAGGATTTCTCTGCGTAGCTTTGGAGCCTATCCTGGTACTCGCTCTGGAGACCAGGCTGGTCTCGAACTCACAGAGATCTGCCTGCCTCTGCCTCCTGAGTGCTGGGATTAAAGGTGTGTGCCATCAATGCCAGGCCTCCAACATTTTCTTAATCAAGTTGAATGTGCTGGTCCATGCTCTCTACAGTGATGATGGGTTTGAGCAAATGGCAAAAAGAATGGATATAGCTGTTTTCCTTGGATCACTATAATGTGACATTTTAGAAAAGAATATCATGAAATTGAAAAATAATACTAACAAGGAATCTGTTGCCTGCTGCACCCTAACTCTATAAATACTTAGGGTGAGACCGTTGAGCAAACTGCTTAGAACCAATGGTACCCATTTACTATCACCATGAATCTGGTCTCTAATACACAAAATCTGAGGATTAATAATGCATAACAAAAGGAAAATCTTTTTTAAGGTTTTATTTATTTATTATGTATACAACATTCTGCTTCTATATATATCTGCACACCAGAAGAGGGCACCAGATCTCATTATGGATGGTTCTGAGCCACCATGTGGTTGCTGGGAATTGAACTCAGGACCTCTGGAAGAGCAGTCAGTGCTCTTAACCTCTGAGCCATCTCTCCAGCCCCCAAAAGGAAAATCTTATATTTAAAAATGCCAATATATCAGAATGCCTGAATAGTTCACCATTGATGTACAAATGTAGGACTAGAAAGTCCCAGTATTATACATAGTTGGTAGTAGAAAGAAGCCGAATAACTGAAAATATGACCGAAGTATAAAATTCCCATTAATTAACAAAATTCCCCTAAGGAAATTTAGGGACTTTAAATTTCTTAACTCTCACTTCTCTTCTGAAATTAGTTATTTACTATATAAGTATGTCCCATCTCACAGAAAGAGGATGACAATAGCTGACACAGCCCACTATGTCAAAAGATATTGGACCCAAAAGTTATTTCCTTAAAAAGATTTTATATGTGTGGCTGTTTTGGCTACATGTATGTCTGTGCATGTTGCCACATGTGTGAAGTGCCCACAGAGGCTAGAAGAGGGCATTGGGTCCCTGGGACTGGAGTTATGGATGGCTGTGAGCCATCACATGTGTGCTGAGAGCTAAAGCAGGGTCCTCTTACAACAGCTAGTGTTCTTAACCACTGAGCCATCTTTTTTGTTGTTGTTGTTGTTTGTTTTGTTTTTCGAGACAGGGTTTCTCTGTGCAGCTTTGGAGCCTATCCTGGCACTCACTCTGGAGACCAGGCTGGCCTCAAACTCACAGAGATCCACCTGCCTCTGCCTCCCAAGTGATGGGATTAAAGGCGGGCGCCACCAACGCCCGGCCTGAGCCATCTTTTGAGCTCCCCTACCTCCAAAGTATTTCCATATATATGAATTCTTAAAAAGAATGAAGAGGGCCAGTGAGGTGGCTCAGCATGCAATCTGATGACCTGAGTTTGATCCCACAAGCCTAAGTAAATATGGAAGGAGAGATTCCAACTACACATTTTTTCTGATCTCTACACATAGGCCATGACACAAGTCCCACCCCCACATGCACATACATACATAATAATAAACATACAAAATTTAAATAAAAATAGAGAAATTAAGAAGATTCCAGTGGCCTTTGAAGACTTCCTTCCTTCTGTTCTATGATTGAGGACCAAGGAAATGGAACTGAGCCACCCCCAGTTCAGACCCTGGATGAAGCCAAGTTCAGAGGCATGCTTCAGAACTGGGCTTGGGCAAGAAGCTCAGTCTTTGCCAGAGGGAAGGGATTCCTTTCCCAAAAGAAGTCCAGTTCTTCCTCAGAACCAGACTTCGAGGGCACTTTTGACCTAAGGCATACTCTAGACATTAGATATTAAGTTAGCAGAAGCAGCCGCTGCCCTCTGGGTACTGTGTGATCAATAATTGTGAGTTAATGATGCCTTTCATCCTTTCTCCACATAGAAATCAAAGGTCAATATTAGGACCAACTAAATTTTCTGCTACAATAGGACCAGACATGCAACATCATTGATACATGGAGTGACAGGCATCCAATATACATCTTAGAAAAAGTTTGCTGACTTGTTCAATTAACTGTCCAAGTTTTTTTTTTTCCTTTTTCTCAAACCAATGATTAAGTCCACTGCTTCCTGTAACAACTTCTGCTTAGAAGGTATTTCCTTGCCTCTAAGGTAAGTATTTGTCCTAGTGGCTCTCAGATAGTTTGTTGTCCAGCAGGGCCCCCTTAATTCTCTTAAAAATTATTGAGGAATCCAAAGAACTTTTGCAGTGTGTGTGTGTGTGTGTGTGTGTGTGTGTGTGTGTGTGTGTGTGTGTGTTGGGGGCTGTGTTAGCTGTTGGTATTAACATTTTAAATTAAAACTGAAAATGAAGCAGTGATGAGACAGAGACTTCTGACAAGATGAAGCTCCTGGTTTCCTTACCTCCTCCTTCAGCGTGACCTGGACAATACACCCTTCTCTCACAGGAGCTTCATCTGGCTGGATTTCTGTCACCTGCAGATAAAAGAGCACTGAACAATAAAGAATTAGTCTAGAGTAATAAATAATGAAGGTTTGCATTTAATACATCAAAGTGCTGTTTCCTCCATTCCTTTTGCCACCCGTTAATTGAAAGCCTCCTGAGGAGTGATAAATTTAAACACAGCCAGCACCTACAGTTCACAGCACCTTAGGAGTTCCAAAGTGCTTTCACATTCAGGATTTAATTTTCACTACAACCCTATGAAGTAGTTTGTTTTACATCAGTTTTGTAGATGAGAAAACTGAGATGTGCCAAGCCCGTGAGACTTCATACAGTGGTGAAATGGCTTAACCAAAACTAAATCCAAATCTTATTCTCTACCTCTCCTTGGCTAAAGTTCTTGTCTCAGGTGATGCTATTTTTACAAGAGTTATAGCACAAGCCTTCCCATATACTCTTTCTCGTTCTTTAAAACAAAACAAAACAACACAAAAAAAACCAAACCAAACCAAAAAACCCATCCTCTTGCGGGTAGCGGGGCGCTGTCTGTGAAGCAGATCTTTTAAAATGATCATCGTATTTTAGCTGTGGCCTGTAGTTTAGGGGCAGAAGTGGGGATGGAGTTAGTCGGGTAATATCACTCTTTGGGCTCTATGATTGAAGGGCTATGGAAGGGTAACTAGGAACAGGGCATGTGCTGGAGAAGCTGGATAATACTATACAGATAATCCACAGACTTTGAGGGCCACTGCATCTCTAAGAAAGCTTCCCTGCTCCAAGTACAGGCGAGTAGATGCGCGAACTGCGGGACTCAGATTCCGAAGTCTTGGATTTGAAAGCTGCGGACAAACAAAGAAATAACAAAGTCAAGTTCCCATGGCGAGAGGAGTTCGAAACGAAGTGTTTTTTCCCCTGTATGGGTGGAAACTACTAGCGCATCACTTAGATTTGCTATCCACCGGGGTTGCTTGGACAACCCCCTCCAGGCACGCCCGAGGCTCTCCCGAAGTACTACAAATCCCATAAGGCCTCGCAGCGCGGAAGGGGATGACAAAACGCTGGCGGATTG